CAAGTACGAGTGGCGAGTGTTCCGTGGTTGGCTCTAAATTGTTTGCATCATGCACAAGTTATTTATGATAATAATGAACTTTTATGATACTTTATATTAGTATGTGAAGGTGTATTTCACTTTTGTATATGTAATTGTGCTTCTTTGATGTGATCGGAAATATTTGAGTGATTCACTTTTGTATATGTAATTGTGCTTCTTTGATGTGATCGGAAATATTTGAGTGATATAAATATAAAAAGTAAAGCATTTGTGTGATAAATGTAAATGCAGAAAAATTGATTGTTTTATATTATTAGTATTTTGTAGCAGCTTGAACTTTTTTCCCGGATGATATTATGTTTTTTTCTCTAGAATTTATTTTGGAAGTTTTACATACACACAACTCAATTATTTTGTATTTTCATGTCTTACATTTGAACTTTAATTTTACAAACTTGCCACATTCCATATAAATTAATGTTATGTTGCATCTCCAAGAATAATAATGAATATCTCAAATTTTACTTATATGATTTCCATGAATCCCTCCCTCTCTCGCTGTGTGCGTGTGTCTAGCTCCCCTCTCTATGATTGGGAAATGAGTAAATTTAACTTCTATGAATTCATGAATCTTTAGTTTTATCTCTCCTATATGATTGCATTAAGAAGGTTGGTAGATTTGTAAATAGCAATTTTTGGGTGGTTTGCGTGTGTCTAATGAGTCTGAAGGGGTTTAAATGGTTCTAAAATATTTAATGGGTAGAGATTGCAGTTTTATTGAAAACATTACAACTTCTGCGTGTCAGATTGTTCATTTACCTAAAAAAATCTGCAAATTAGCCGTTTATAAAACGCACAAACCAAACAGTCAAACAATATCCAAAACAGGGGCAAAATGGTTATTTATCCAAAATTAGTTGTTTTCAAAACTCACAAACCAAACAGACAGACAATTTATTTGGATCAACTGCTTATCAGCAGCTTATCAGGATAAACAGCTTATGAAGATAAGCAACTTATATGGATAAGCTGGATAAGCTGCAGCTGCCCGAAACAGACCCTTAAACTCGCAATACCCTCATTGTGGCTTCCCCAGCAACTTCGAAACAACCTCCTCAATTTGCCCTCATTCTTGGCAAACTTCGGTTTCTCTTTAGTGTTATGGGAGAGGAGTGTCATGCAACAAGTCTTCATGGTTGGCAGCTTATCCCTTGTCTTCAACCTTGATGAGCCATCTTCCTTCTTTCTTGGCGGTGTTTCATTAGGAACCTCCACCACATTCCTTGGCATCCCAACTCCTTGGGTCTTTTCTCCATCAATGGTATGAAGGATAGCCAAGTTGTTCCACTTGTCCAGTGCAATGTCATCCTTAAGTTGGATTGCCGATAGCATTTTGGATCCTTGCTTGCTTACCTTATTATCAGTACTGAGCAAGCTTGACTCCATTCAGTGATGCACAGGCTATTGGCAAATGGCATTGGGAATGCTCTTGTTTGCTCCAAGAAGTTCATTCCCAGAACAACGTTTTAATCATCCAAAGGAATGACAGAGAAGTCTAGAGTACCTGACCATGCCCCAATGCTAGTCTGGACTCCCTTAGCCACTCTGTCGATTGGCATCTCTACTGAGTTGACAACTTTAATGGAGCCCCCTCCTTTAATCATCTGCAACCCCAACATCTTTGTTTCCTCGCTCGAGATGAAGTTGTGGGAAGAAACTGCATCCACCATTGCCCTGGTAGTCTTCTCTCTTATTGTTATCTCCACAAAGAGTAATCCCTTCCCTTGCAGTTGAAGAGATCCCACATGTGCCTCCATGTCATTTTCCCTATCACTTTCTTCTTCCTTATGGTATGGCTTGCAAGGAGATTCTTCCTTATGGCTTGCAAGGAGAGAGTTGAGGGTCTTCTTCTGAGGGCAATCTCTTGCCCAATGTAGTCCTTCACAAAGAAAGCAACGGTTTTGATATGGTTTGTTGTTAGTCTTGCCCTTGTCCCTTGGTTTTGTTGGGGTTGATTCGCGACGTTTCTCCTCCTTGTGTTTGCCCTTGTCATCCCCACCTTTGACATCACAAATCTTCTTATCTTCAGGCTTTCTAGACTCCTTTGAATAATCAATCAAGCTTTCAACAAGTGCGATGGCAGTGACAAGATCTTGCACTCCTCGCCTCTTAAGCTCGGTCTTTGTCCAATGTTAGAGTCCATCCATAAAGTTGAAGAGAGCATCCTTGTCTGACATATCCGGGATTTCAAGAACCAAGCTTGTAAACTCCTTGATGTAGTCTCGAATCAAACCCTCTTGCTTAAGTCTTCGCAACCGGGCTCGAGCCTCATCATCGGCATTCTCGGGATATAACTCTCTCTTTAGTTCTCTTTAAGTCATTGAAAGTGAACATGGAGCACAAACCTTTCTCTACATCTCATTTTCTTCTTCTCCACCAAAGCATAGCGATGTCCAATAGATAAAGAGAGACAAATTGTATTTTTGCATCTTCATCGACAATCTTCATCGCTCCAAAGTATTGCTTTAGTTCCCATAGGAAGTTGTTTGCATTCTTCGCATTGCGAACCCTTCAAAACTCATAGGTTTTGGAACTTTAATCATCTTGGCTTCGAAAGTGGGAAGGCTCGTGGATATCGCTAGTATCCTCTTGCACAACGAAATGCCTCCACGCATCTCCTCCAAGCTAGCACGCACGTCGCTCATCTCTTCCTCGTAGGCTCTTCACACCACTTGAAGCTTCCCCAACAAATTCTCCTGCAACTTAACCAAATGGCACATTAAGGTCTCCTCAAGTTGGAGCATCATACCTCTGATCATTGAATGGATGGTGACGTCCTCCTCCTCGAGTCCATTAACCCTTTGGCCATGATCCTCTACTTGGCCCTCCATCCAAGCATCATATTGAATTTGAATTACATCATTCATGTTAAATAATATAAGCAAATCGCCGCCTACCACAGTCAATTGCCTATCACCCGGCGACTGCCACAACTAAAACTAACTACTCCCTGTTGTCGTGCTTCGTCGCCTGATATCCGCCTATACCTCACACTGCTCGTAGCCTGCCGCCTGCCACAGACCTATTCCCCCCCCCCCCCCCCCCCCCCCCCCCCCCCCCCCCCCCCCCTGCATGTCGCTAGTTGCTTGCAAGTTGCCAGCTACCCGCGGCTTCTCCATCACAGTCATTTATGTCCGCCACCTATAGCCCGCTTGATGCCTGTTGCCTACTCACCGCCGCAAGCCTGCCCTCCGCCATCATTAGTTGTCGTATGTTTCCATCGGTCGCTTCCACCTACCACCCATCACACCAAACCACCGATCATCACTAGCCATCGGCCCTCCATCAACAGTTTGCCTGCCCGCCTCAGCAACCACTGCAGCACGCCTGTCGTGCCACGTCACCGCTCGCCGCTAGTCGTCGCCCACCTGCCACCCGCCAGTCGTCGCCCACCTGCCACCGCTCCCTGCCTGCCTTCGCCGCCTGCCTCTGCCCGCCTGTTGTCCTTTGCACAAGTAAATATATTACTTTCAATCTATTTCAAATCAAACAAAAAATATAAAATCCTACATTTATTTTACAGTAAACCAAACAACTTGAAAGTATTTCAAATACATTTACATTGCATTTTTAGCAAACCAAACAATCCCTTCGTAAAATTTGGTTGTTACACAAACAAAAGAAGTGACTTTAAAATTCTTGTAATCAAACTTTCAAACATTTAAATGTGGCAAATATCGCCCAACTAATAGAAAATAATATGCCATATTCAAAATAATTTTTGACACTCCAACATGAAAACAAAATGAAAAGCCCAACTTCCATAACTACATAAGATAAAGTAAGCACACATCAACCAACCAAAATTTGGGAATGTTACCCACCTCATACATTGATTCAATAGCAACTCAAAATGATGAGCATATGGGCAAGAAAAACCCCCAAAAAAGCTTCATTGTGGATTGATAGAAAAAAAAACACACAAATCCCCACCATTAGCCCCTTAACCAAAATCAAAACCTAACGAGCACGCACACACACACTAAAATCATTAATTGAAATCCATTATAGCAAAATGATTTGAAAACAAGTATGCACATCAAATTCTTAAATCAAATTCAACAAACTCAACCCTTCTTTCTTACATCGTCAAATGTCGAGTTGCATGCACCCGCCCGGCACTTGTCTGGCCCTTCGCCACTATAAACTTCAATCCATCATCATGATTATAGTACTTCCCTAATAATGCCATCATGTTACTGCCTCCTCTCACAATCATCAATGTTGCAAATCTTAATCATTTTTTTGCTACCATCATCTTGGTGTTGGGTGAAATTCCATGCTTAATCATGGCATTATAGGCATATACCTAAGATGTTTACACTGCCAGCAGATATAATAAGATCTGAGATCTGACAAAAAAAAAATACTTATCAAGATTGTTGTCATAAGCCTCATGGAAGCCTTGACCAATTCCATTTTTATTGATAACCCAACACACACACAAATAAAACACTTCTTTCTTTTATTGTTGTTTTATTTGGGTGGGTCATTATCATCATCTTCTCTCTCAAGAGAGTAGCCCCTATGAACTCCTAATTTATTTATTGTTATTTTTGGTGGCCCATGATAGATCTAGTTTCTATTCCTGCACAATACTGTAACAATTGCGCATTTAGTGTCCATGGCAACACAAAAAATTGGATTAACCTAAATACAATTCAAGTATGAACGAAATAAAAGTTGACCCAAATCAAAACCTCCTTTGTCAGCCTCACAAAACTGAATAGAGTTCAAAACCATCCTTGCAAAAGAAAACCCGACTGCTTAGTCAAACCTTCATTAAATAAGCATCAATATGAAAAAATCAAAAACATTTGAAGTATTTTGGTATGTTACTGTTACCATGCTTGATCAAATAGAGTTCAAATACAGAAAACAAAGGCTGCATTTCAGAAATCACAACTCTAAAGTTAAAGCCAGATTAACGGAATTAAGTACAAGATGTTTTCTAATACCTCAAGTGCTGTCTCATGGACTTGGCTGTATGCCAAGTGAAGAGGCAACAAACCAGCAAGATGCTCAGCAGTAGCAGCAATGGCAGCTTTTATGGGTCTCCTACAGACAGGGTCATAGCCAAGGCTTTAGTTATGCAATGCTATAGATAATAGGCTTTAATGTTTTAGCAAAATTATAAACAGACATCAATATAAAAACCATGTAAGGAATTCATCATTCAATAAGGTTCATATATTTGATCCAATTTATTGATTTCATTAACATAATTTAAGGACAATACAGCCACATGAGGATTCACTGACATGAAAGTAAAAAAAAAAAACAAAGAAATCAAAGAAATTCAAAAAAGATTCACATATTGATGTGACCTGACAATATGTAATTGACTAGCAATAAACCTCAAAAAACCACCTATTAATATTTCCTAGGATTCAACCTGTGAAAACCAAACCTTTCCCTAATCCAAAAACATAAGTTTACGTTAAGTTTCTCAGGTTTTGAGGCATTGTAGGGTCGATTGGTTGGTGGCCAGTATTTTTTTCCTCAAATTCACTGACATAGCCCAAAAGCAGTCCAAATGAAATATTTATTTAGCAACCTGAGCCTTCACAACTGTTGTTGGGTCAACATTAGTCAGCTAAAATTGATCAAACTAACATATCAATATTTTCTCAATTGGTACTGTTTTGGATTTTATAAACTTGGTAAAATTCAGTTGTATGGTTATGGTTTATTTTAGACAAAAGATAAACCAAATATACCGTGAAAAATTAACACATGCATTCTATTTTTATATATTTATACGTGTTAATGAATATGATTTCGTGCATGCATTATACTCCGACAGTATGTAGTACACAAATTAAGTAAAATGTCTAATTGCATCATTTCATTAGTAAGAAACTGAACAGAATCAGTAGACATCTTAACCGTTCAGTCACACATTTCCAGGTTCCATTGGACCTAGTTAGGTTTAAACCGAAAGATGATCAAAGCAACCGTGTTATCACAGTTGGTTCAAATTTTCTATTAAATAAAGAAATTTAGCAGTTCAGAAATGTAAAGGAAAATAAAAGCAATACAATTATTTAAACTCGCTAAGCTTCCCTCTAGAAATTGTTGACCTCATTTTTAGTGAGGTCTAGTATTCCTCGTAGGAGTTAGGATCTAGCCTTAGGGACCTCCCTTGACTATCTTAGAACCTTAGAAGTGGTGCCCGCCTCGTTTTAATTCGACCTATTTCCGTCCTCTTTTGTGGTTCCAAGTGTGTGGTATCGACTTCTAGCATTTAGAAGGGTGAAACCAACATGAGGAAACCCAAAAGGGATCCCTATAGGACCTTTTGAGCCTTAGGGTGGCCTTCTGCACAATTCGCACGTCCGCGCGCGTCCGATCGCCGCAATTCGCATTGCCTGCATTGCTACTTGTCGAATGCTCGATTAAACCACTTGGGACGATCGATCGCGGGTCGAAATTATGTGAAATTTGAATTTCGACGCGTTTTGACCCGATTGTCGACGACGTCGTCCGAGCGACCCCGGATGACGAAACGGACTACGCCAACGCGTCCGGAACGTCGATTTTGCCCGGGGAGGACACCCATTTTGTCGCGTCGCCGCGCACGAATAAATTGTGTTTTAATTAATATATATCTATATATATATATTTATATATATATATATATATATATTTATTTATATGTTAATTAACATTTTACCCGCTTCCCCCGTTCCT